CCACTGGGTCGATTCTGACACAGCGGCCCTATGGGACAGGGCAGAACTGCCCAGTGGCTTTCCAAGTCGAGTTGGAAGACATTTTAAATATAGAATAAACCACTGCACTTTGTCCCAGCACAGCATTGGTCAGGTCACATCTGTGTGCACAGTTGTGTGCTGGTGTGCCTGGTTCAGTGCCTTTTGCCAACAAGACGTGAGGGACAGAAGCTGACCGTGCTCTTAGGAGACATGACAGAGTGCAAGGCTATGGACTTAAACTGTCTTGCACTTGGGATTCAGAGTGAGCTCTGAGGTTGTGTGGGGATCAGAAAGCGGGCAGGAAAGGCAACTCGGACTGTGACATTCAGAGTCCGGGCGGGGCCATCACACAATGTGTAGGGCAAAAGGAAAGAGCTCTGAGGCAGGAAAACAGATCCATGTGGCCCTCTGGGCTGAGCGTTGTGGTCTTTCAGACCCGCCAGCTGTCCCAGGGGAGTGAGAGGAGGCTGGCTGGTCCCAGAGGCTCACTGTGAGCTGGCATTGACTGAACAGTTGTGGTGGGGTTCTTTGGGAGGCAGGGGAGATAGGATTTATGTATTTTTAAAGTAATTTTTCAAATTCTGGTCTGGAGAGTATCTCCTGCAAAGACTTACAGTATTTTGCTCTTTAAATTTCTTTAGTTTCTTAGTTTAAAGTTCCATTTTCTTGATTATTTTTATTGTTCTAGCTCTTGTTGGACATAATCTCATTTGACTATCTTACCAAAACTTTGAGGCAAAATATCATCTTTCTTAAAGCTTGATTTTAAAAAGTTTTTTTTTTTTCCTTATTCTTCCCTGATCCTACAACTTCACCCCTCCCAATGTAGCATATGATGTTAGCCTTTGTTAACCATTTCCCCTCAATACACATACCGTTACAACACTTCTTGTGTGCTAGAAAGGTGGCCACCGTGTCGTGCGCACAGGGCGAGTCCCGTGGTAAACGTTTCTCTGACTTCTAACAGGCGATCGTCAAAGAATCGCCGCAAAGCGGAGCGCAAGAAGCACAGCCTCAAAGAAGGGAGTCCCCTGGAGGAGCTGGCGCTGCTGGAGGCACTGAGCGAGGTGGTGCAGAGCGTTGAGAAACTGAAAGGTAGATGCTTCTTGAATGCAGTTGTATTAGCACTTCACCCTCATGTCATACAATTCAGTCAGTCACATCAAGAAGAGCTGTACTGCCGTCACCACAGTCAGCTCTAGAACGGTTTCTTCTTCCCTGTGCTCACTGTTATTCGTGGTATTATTTTCTTCTCATTGTGGCACAAATAGACGCAACAGAACATTCTCTACTTCCACCACATCTGCTTGTGTAATTCCGGGTCGTTGATTGGACTCTTTGTGTTGTGCCACCGCTTCCTTTTCCAGGCTATGCCACCACCATTGTCGCACACTCAGTGCTTCTCACACCCTCTCTCCCTTCACCTATGGCCATGAACGGTGATGCCCACTCCTGTCTGCCCAGTACCCTGACCCACCTCATCGTAAATGGCACTGCAGACAGTGCAGGAGATGATTAAAATGCAGTGTAGAGAGAAAGCTGTGGGCAGAAAGCACATCCACCCTCCCGGCTGAGACTTCGGAGTCCTGCTCTACCTGGTCCCCAGCAGGCTGAACTGTGGGAGGAGCTCGAAGCCACGGCATGGGCTTGTGGAGGCTGCTTCCTGCGTGGCTTTCTTTTTAATAGTGCTTGTGCTGGATTGTCCCCGCATTTGGGAAGAAAGAGAGGCGGGAGGTATCCAGTTTAGTGCAGTAACAGTTATGTTTTTGCGTGGGGAAGAAACAGGGATGGCACTCACAACAGGGCTGGGACTTCTCTGACCGGTCTCTCTGATCTCTCTCTAGATGAGGTATCCCGCATTTTAAAGGTACTGTTCCTCTTTGCCTTTGATGAGCAAGCAAAGGAATTACAACAGGCCTTTGAAGATTCTCTGCAGCTGATAGAGAGGTCACTTCCAGAAATTTGGACTTTGGCCCACCAGCCGAGCTCCACCACCTCTGTAAGTGTTCTCAAAGGCAAGAGTCGTTTGTGCGTTGTTTGCACGGGTGATTACATGCGCCCAGCCCCTGAAAGCCCAAAGTGAAGCAACTACCCTGTTCGGAGGTGTGACGTCGTCCAGGGCACTTGTCTGCCTCAGGCCTCCAGATGTCGGCGGCAGGGCCGCAGCCCGACTTGGAGCCTCTCATCTCTCCTTTGGGAATTCGAGGATGGGTCAGAGCTCTTGAAACCAAGGACAGTTGTTTTGGGTTGTTTTTTTTTATTTAATGGAAAACGCGACTTGTCTCTTAAACTGTATTATTGTAATAAGTTTGTTAAGGAAGTTTAAGGTCGAGTCAGCCTCTTGTCCTGAGGGGTTTGGAAAAGCTAGTGACTCCATCAGGCTCCACTCACACAGAAGCCCGTGAGCTCCCGGAGACCGAGGAGAAGGGCAATCGAGCGCAGGAAGCATGTCGACGTGACTCGAGGGACGGCTCTGCCCTCGGTGCTGGGTCTGGTACTTGTGCAGGGTGCAAGGGGGCCGTGGAAGACCTTGGACACATGTGTTGCTTTTGAGTGTGTGCCAACAGGGCAGTGAAGGGGACACACCCGAGGGCAACTGGTGTGGGGCCAGAGGCTTGTGGCCAACATGAAAGCCTGTGCAGATTTTGCTTTCTGCCCCAGAATAGCCATGTTTGCCTTCACATAGAATATGTATACAATCTGTGGGTGTGGTTGATGCTGTGTATGTGTGTGTGTGCACGCGCGCGTGCATGCTGTAGCCTCATGGCATTGTTCCTCCTCACCCTAGAGAGTGGCTTGCATATTGGGGACCCACCCATTGCCATCAGTCCATTGTGGCTCATTTAGCAGCCCGATGTAGTGTTTATGAGACTGTAACTCTTTACAGGGGCAGACAGCTTCGTCTTTCTCCTGTGGAGGGGGTGGTGGACTTGAACCACTGGCCTGGCAGTTGGCAGTCTAGTGCTTATCTGACAGCTCATTTGAAAAGGGCCACTTATATCTTTGCAGATTGCCTTTCTCTGTTATGACCTCCTTGAGATTTAGAAGCCTGACATGAGATTGTGGAGAAACTAGCAAATTAAAATCCCTTAAGAAAAGAGAAATTACGGTGTTTGATACCATACCAGTAACAAGTGAGAGTTTACATGACAGGCTGTTTATTGCTGGTGGAGATTTGGCCTTTGGTACTTGCAGTGATTAGAAGTCTAGGATAATCTCGCTGACACGGTCTACTTTCTGCTTAGATTCTAGGTCCCAGTTCGACTGCAAACAGCATCATGGCCTCCTACCAGCAACAGAAGACTGCAGCCCCTGCTCTCGGTCAGTACCGGGCGTTCCTCTGTTAAGTCACTGCGGTGGGTGCGGTGCGGTGGCGCTCCAGCCAGCGGGAGCTTGCACGAGGAACTGCTCAAGACTCGAGATTGAGTCATGAGGGACAGGGAGAGGGGCTTGAGAGAGAAGACGTCCGGAGCGTCTCCACTGGCCAGTGTTTATTTCAAATGCAGGGGGAATTCTAGGGCACAATGACGCCAGGCCCAAGACGCTTTCGTGACTCCTAATTAACAAACATTCTCATATTCGAGCACACTTTGACCTGAAGGGAGGCTTGTCTGCAACTCGGAATCTCCGTATCACTCAGTGTTGGCCCCACGTCCCTGGAACATGCCCTCGCGGTTTGCTCAGTGTCTTCACCCAAGAAGGGGACCCGGTCGAGTCTCCCTGCACAGCACTCTACAGAAGGGTTATTCCGAGTGTTGAGAGGTAGGACGTCAGGTGAACCTTTCTAGTGGTGGAGGCAGGTTGGGGGAAGAAACCCACAACGTTTAACATAGTGTCATTTAGAAAATTTTACTGACAGTTCACACACACATCAGCTTACACAGTGTACATTTACATATCACTTCCAGAGACTGTTTGAGTCTTCATTCTTGACTGGTGGCACAATCATGCCGTTCATCTTGGGGACCTTTTAATAATCGTCGTTTTGACCTAGACCTTTTTCTTTTCGACTTTTAGGATTAACAGTATTATTTGAAGGCATAGCCCAAGAATCTTAACACTTTTGTGTCTTTCATAGTAGTTACACCTAACATATCATGTTTGCTTGTTGAGGGTAAGGTAGTTCTCCATTAGAGTGTACACCCGTAAAAGTTAAAAATGGGCTCACGTGGGGCACACTGGTGCGGATGGCCGGCGGTCCTCCTTCTGTGGTGGGTAGGGTCGCTGTGGGTCGGAACCGACTCAACGGCTCCTGACAACAGCAAGAGCCCCAAAGCTCTGCGGTCGCTGGTGAGTGGCCGGAGAAGGTTGTTTGCCCTTCAGGCGAATCAGTCAGGCTTTCCAACCTCTCAGCTTCTCAAGGGAGGAGACATTCTGAAATAATGGACAGTTTTCATGGCTGCTTTTTGCATTTCTAGCATTTGTGGGCAGTGTTCTGAGACTTTTCTCCATTTAAATGCTGCACTATAATGTTAGCGTTGTGATGGCATTTGAAGTAGCCATTGGGGAACCAATTCATCTTCACTGTGGAGACTTCCTTTGTTCCAGTCTCAGGTACCTCATTCATTCTGTGTCTCTCGCCTCTGCTGCATCCTGGGGCTGGCAAGCTGCTTTTGGACCAATCCCAAGATAGACACTGATATCCAGAGGCAGGTTGCATTGTTGCCCAGTCCACTGTGCTTTCTGCCCTGGTGTTTTTCTCCTGGGTCTAGTGCAGATGTGCAGGTCACCTCCAGTCAGACCTTCCCTGGAGGACTGTGGCCAACTGACCCTCATCAAAGAGTGCCTTCCCCCTCCAGCTGAGCCCAAGACTGTCGTGGGGCAGAGGGTGCGAGGTCCCTATTACATGAGTAGTTATTGTCAGAGTCCTGTAGTTACACGGTTGGGTAGGAAAATCTTATAATGCAAGCCTTTGAGGGGGCTTCAAAAAGTTCATGGGAAAATTCCTTTCATTTTTCCACAATGTTTTGAACATCCCCTTGTAAGCACAAGAAGTTAGTGCAGCTCAAATGCTGGTCAGCTGCCGAGGGCTTCCCCAGCCCTCAGGGGTTATGGGTGCTCACACATGCCAGGAGGGCATTCTGGGAGCTCTGGAGCTTTTCTCTGCCAGTTTTATGGTGCAATGGGAGGAGGATTGCACAGTAAATTGCATGTCCTGCTGCAGTGGGAGTACTGAAATGGAGCCAGTGATCTGAAGTCCAGGCATCACAGCCGAGTTAGGCTTGTTACGTTGATAACAAAGTGCTTCACTTAAAGGTCTGACGACCAGCGGACTGAGGAGGCCTTGGACAGATAGACAAAGCAGTCCAAGTATTTTTGTTTTAAGAT